CCGCCCCCCGGCGGCGCGCCGAGCGGGGGCGGCAGGGCGCGGCCTCCCGGGGGGCGCGGCCGCGATGCGCAGTGGGCCCCGCGCGCGGCACCGACCTCGGGGCCATCCGGGAACCCAGCGTTCTCGTGCTGATTTTTTGGTTGTTCCTTGTTCTGCCCATCGGCGCGGGCCCCCCAGCCCCCCTCCGCGCTCCCCCCCCCCCTTGGAGGAGATCTTCGAGCAGGTGGAGTCTCTCCCAGAGGCTGCACTCTTGCAGCCAGTCGCAAGAAGCAAGAAGGAGAGGTTCGGAGCCAGACCCCGCCCCTCCCCCTCCATTTCCGCCCAATGTCGAAACGCCGAATTCAGAAACGCTCACCATGAGGGAGTTCAGCGTTCTTCTCGACGAGGATCGCAAAGAGCCGTCCAATGTGGAGCGTCAGCCCTTTCCTTTCCTTCTGGCACGTCGTTCAGTTCCATTTGTTTTCCTCTTCCCGCGTGCTGACCGTTCCCTTTCGAGGGTGGCCGTGGCATCGGCGTTGTCTGCCGCCTCGGCCTTGGTCACGGGCCTCGCCGCGCAGGCCGCGGCCGCTCGGCGCTGCCCGGATGCCCGCCAGTTGGGCAGTGGGTGGCTGCCCCCAGGCGACTGCGGCGCACCCTCTCCCAGCGCACCCTCGCTCCTCGCGGCCCCAGGACCGAGCGGCCCCGGCCCTCCACCCCGAAGGCCCGAGCCTGAGCGAAGACGAGCCCGAAGTGGAGCCCGAGGCCGAGGGTCCCACGGGCCCGAGAGCCAGCGACAACGACCGAGGGCCCCGATGGCCCGACGTGGAGCGAAGACGCCCCCCGCGGCCCCGCGCAGCGCATCGGCCGCGACTCGCCCCGCAGGGCGCCGTTTCTCCCGGGGGGTGCCCGTGGCGCCCAGCGGGGCCCGGGCCGCCCGCCCCGACGGCGCGGAGAGGCCGCCTCGTGGAGCCGCTGTGCCGGCGTCTGCTGCTCCGCGCCCCGCGGAGCCCCGCGGCAGGCACGCGGCTCCTCGACGACCTCCTCCTCCTCCTCCCCCTCCCCCTCCTCCTCCTCCTCCTCCTCCTCCTCCTCCTCCTCCTCCTCCTCCTCCTCCTCTTTCCTCCTCTTAATCCCCCTCCTCCTCCTCTTTCCTCCTCTTAATCCTCCTCCTCCTCCTCCTCCTCCTCTCTTAATCCTCCTCCTCCTCCTCCTCCTCCTCCTCCTCCTCCCTCTCCTCCTCTTAACTCCTCCTCCTCCTCTCCTCCTCCTCCTCCTCCTCCTCTCCTCCTCCTCCTCCTCCCCTCTCCTCCTCTTAATCCTCTCCTCTCTCCTCTTAATACTCTCCTCCTCCTCCTCTTCTTTTCCTCCCTCCTCCTCCTCTCCTCCTCCTCTCCTCCTCCTCTCCTCCTCCTCCTCCTCCCTCCTCCTCCTCCTCCCTCCTCCTCCTCCTCCTCCTCCTCCTCCTCCTCCTCTTAATCCTCCTTCTCCTCCTCCTCCTCCTCCTCCTCCTCCTCCTCATCAAGGGTGGTCCCGGATTCCCTGGATGGCCCTGGCCAGCCTCTGGTGGCCTCCAGCGTGCCTCCCGGAGGCCCGAAGGTGGCTCCAAGATGGCTCCGGGGAGCCTCGCCGATGCTCCCCGACCTCCGATCCCCAGATATGCGACGTCCTGGGGGTCTCGTCGATTCGACGAGGAGATCAATTTTGGGGTAAATCTAGGCCTCCTGGATAGGGTCGGAGTAGATGGAGTCGGGGGATCGCGCCGCATCGCGGATGCATCTGCGATGCGGCTCGATGCGGGCCCGATTTTCTCCACGATGGCGTCGCCGACGCATCGCCGATGCGTCGCCGATGCATCGCCGATGTGTCGCCGCTGCATCGGCGATGCATTGGCGATGCGGCGCGATCCTTCGACCCCAGACATGCGACGTCCTGATTTTTTCAGGACGGCGTCCCCGGAAGCCCCGACCCTTTCCCCAGGACTGGCTCCTCGCCCCGCGTTGTTTCTTGACGGTCTTGGGGCCCAGCGAGGGCCTCGAGAGGCCGAAGACGATGCAGAGCCTCCGTCCTGACTTGTCAACGACGCGATCATGTCTGGTTCCCGATCCGCCCCCAGCGCCGAGTCGGGCCTGTCCCTCTACAGGGGGAATATCCCAAAACAGTCCAAAAATAGTCCGGGGACGATGTGTGATCATGTTTGAACATGTCCTGGATACCTTGTGGGGTATGTCGGCCCGCCTTGCCTCACCTCGAGGCTGCGGATGTGGCTGAATAAGAGCACTGCTCACGTGCCTTTTGGACACACGGCGTCCTGAGTGATCTGGGGTATGTTTCATTCTTCCTCCAAGCTCCGCCTGCAGGGGGACGTGCCCGACCGAACCCCAGCGCTGGAGGCGGGTGGCCGCCCTCGTCGTTCGAGCCCCGGCGGGCAGCGCCCCCGAAGCAGGGCGGGGGAGGGCCGTGCGGGGCGCGCCCCCTGCGGGGTGACGGGCTCGCTGCCCGCCTCCCTGCGTGGGCAGCCCCGCGCCGCGGACTGGCGCTGAGTCGGGCCCGTCCCCCTACAGGGGGGAGATTTCAAAAGAGTCCCAGAGTAGTCAGGGGT